GACCTCGTGGTCACTGGAACGGTAGCCTTAACCGCTTGGACACTAACTGAGATAGTGTATACCTGAGTAACAGAATTCGGTTTACTCTACATTTGAATGTTTTCCTCTCTCTCACAGACCTTTCCACCAAATACTCCTGGCACTAAGTTGGATGTTGTCGCTCGACATGTTCCTTGGCGTTATCAGTGCGATTACGCTCACGGAACCGGACATGGTGTCGGTGCTTTCCTTGGCGTGCATGAAGGTCCAATCGGAATGTCGGGCAGTCGACTTGAGGCCATGACTCGTATGGGCATGATTGAACCAGGCATACAGAAAGACATGGTAAATTGCTATTTACTAATCTTTCGATGAGTCCAACTTCTTTGAGACTTGTTTCACAGGGGTTTTCCAGTCACAGTGGTCCGGTTGAGTTAAGTAAAGTAATTTCCTTATTGCATCCAAAGGTGTGTATTTAGCAGATCTCACGGCTCTAAAGCGGTGAAAATAACGGATAGTTACATGGTTATAGAAGCGGGAAGATTGTTATATATATATATAAACTATCTCGGGTGCACATGCGAGCGTGGATGCATATGCACACAGTCGTTCTTCCTCCCCCCTCTCTTCTCTTGGAGTCAATTTTTGACGACGTTTTCTCTGTTGTGCTCTCTGTTCAACTATAGCAATGTGATTGTATTGGCTTTTCCATTTTATCCGTTTCGGATTAAGCACGCTGTCATAGTCCGCCCAAACCAGGCCTGCTCATTCAAAAACCGACTTCACGCATCAGTCAACCACAGTGGTCGTCTCCTCGTGCCCAGTTCTGCTGACAGTTTAGTTTCCTGACCAATTGTACAATCTGTATCTGAAACAAAGTAACATCGAATTTTAGCTTTGATTCACCTACCGACGGTTTAAGAACAGAACGTCTGCAAAAAGAACTCGTACCGCTGATTGGAGATTTGTGCTGAAAGTATACATTTGTTGTCCAATGATGTGAATGACCAGCTGATGGATTGCCAGATAAATGTAGCTGATTTTCGGTAACTACCGTGTAATGGTCGTCTTTCCGGGGACATTTTATTCAACCATTCACATACTGCTTATATGCGCATGTATGCAGCCATATTCACTCTAAAGTTTAATTTAAACTTATGAATATATGTTTCTGTTTATGCCACATGCTTTAGTTGATTGTTTTCCTATCTGTTCGTCTTCGTCATTATTCGGACAATCAATTGTTCTGCCGATCAAGGGTGTTGGTCTTAACATATACCCACCTTTGTTACCTTATGCTGCCTCTTTCACATCACTGACATTTATCCCGTGATCTATCGTTGCACCTTGGTTTCATTCCGTAGATGTGATATGTTTTTTATACAGGTTAGTACACAGTTGTTTATCTGCATCTCTTCGTTGCTGCTGGTCACATCTTAGACGCCGAATCGCACGTATCACCCCTAAC